AAGACTATGGGAATCAAGTAGGCCATAAAGGCAGCCTACAACTGTAGGAATGACAGACGATATGGCTCTAAGAAGCATAGTGTTTTACCTTTACCACCCCTCTACTTATATAAATCTTTGCTATTTGCAGCATAAAACTTCGTAGTATATGAAAAGCATTCCGAGATTCATAGCTATGAAATTAGGACCTATGCATTACACATCTACTTATGAGCTAAGTTTCTTTTACATGGGCCATAAGCATCTCAATTCATTGTCGAAATCTATAAGATTCCTTAATGGAAAAAGACTCAAGAGTGCTGTCAAGAACTTCTCACTGGTTGGTGCGATTTACTCCACACAGGTGTTCTGTGACTCACGTAATTGTTTATAGTTTGGTTTGACTTGTATGTGAACATTTTTAAGATGACGTTTTCACATGTCCAACTTTTTCCCCTATTTATGTTATCTATTTATGGACTGTGAGTTCTATGGTGGTCATGACTTATCCAATACCTATGTCTTGTAGAGCTCTTTGGATTAATAACTGAACTGAATTGACTCTCCAACTATCCAACATCAAAACACAATCAAACGTAAACCTGTAAACAACTAAACGCAACCACACAACCTACCGGACCGTTCTAGGGATATTTGCATACATTGGTAACTTGTAAATTATTAATCGTTCCACCAGAATTGCAGACAAGACCCTGGCAGTGCAAGAAATTGGCAGGAAGGATGAGCTGTTAGTGCGCATTCATGTGATCAACATTTTTCTTGCATCTTCCTTATTGTAAAACAGGTATTACAGTTTTCACAACAAGATTATTATACTAACATATACTGCACGAAATGTTGATGACTCCATTTGCACTAACAAACGTTACAAATACCTACTTCGTCATCTCGTATGTTCATAGAAAGTGCAAAATTCAACAACTACCAAAATATAAACACTTAACACTTGCAAATGTCGAAAATAACACCGCCTTGTATTGTAAACAAAACACATTGCAAATCATATCACGTTTTTCCGTTGATAGGTCACGACAGAAATCGAACCCTGCGCTGACGGCCAATCAGTTCAATGTTAACAATAACAAAATCAGCCGCTCCAATAAAAATATAAGTGTTTCTCGGTTCGGAAGGGTCAAGAGCGCCGATAAGGTTACTGATGTTTCGGAATTTAGGTGGAATGGAGACGAAAGTCATTTTCCAAATATAGAAGCCGCGATCTGATATAAGCTTTTCTATTCTCTTGGCAATAGCATCGATACTTTCTTTGCCCTCTTTCATCGAACAAACTTTGGTTTACACGAACCCATAACTCATCTCCTTGGTTAGGTAATAGATATATATATATATATATATATATATATATATATATCTAGTTTAGAAGTATTTGAAACTATAGTTTATGTGTTAAAGGAAGTGTTTAGAACATTACAATGTAATTCTATCAATCAAGACTATTTTGCATGTGTAAGAATTGTCTTACCCGTTGATTAAATAAATAGATAAACAAATAATTGAGGAAAAATCCTAGTTGGATATCTAGCACTAGATTACTACGGCTTGTTTGCATAATCCCTCACACAACTCATCATTTATTGCGTACAGATTTCTGATCGAGTTGTGTTTGTCCCATTCTTACATCACCATTTTGATGATTTATAGACTCCTTTGTAATATTACACTTCATTATATAGGACCCATAAATGCTTTCAATTAGATAAAATAATGCCATCAAGATGAGTCGATGTCGTCCATCTACAGAGAAATGTGTATGTGACACCGGTTAATGAAGGGATTATTATGGGATGACCTTTACCTTTCTCCAAATTGACTGACTGGCCACGTCCTCCCAGAAGCATATAATAATAATAACAATCCCTTATTTGAATCTTTTATACATACATTTTTATTTTGAATAAGGTTGGGTACTAAAATTTGAAATCAAAGAATCGAAATGCCAGAGTGCTACCTTGAGTACAGTTATGAATAAAAATTGAGTCATACAATAATAAAGTAATACATAGGATTTGTTACCAATGCATTATAGTTTTCGCGTCTGTAAATTTCATGTCATTTAATATATACTCAGTGACATCAGAAGTGTTACACCCAGAAAAAATAGTTTGTTTAACTTGATTGTTTGGCAATGAGGTAGTTTTACATAGAGAATGAAATGATAACATTCTCATGAAATTTTATCGACAAGTAGTAAGAAAAAAAATAATAATACGACCCCGCAGCGGAATACACTCCTGTGTACGTCTAGGCATCGTCAACATGAGATGATCGATGACTTGTTGTGGCACCTCATTCCAAGCAACAAAAACTTCGTGGATTAGCTGTGGAAGAGTATGTGGTGCAAAGTGGATAGCCTCCTCCCCATCATATCCCACACATGTGCGATGGGATTTAAATCTGGTGAACAGAACCATTGGTCAGCGACATGACGCTAAACGTCTGCTGGTTGTCTGATGCGCCTATCTTGATGCTCTATGGTACGCCTCGGTGGACCAATTGGCGTTCTTCGCGTTCCTCTACCTTCTTCTATCCACACACGACACACACGCTTTACCGTCATTGCAGTACAAATACCACTGCGACCAATTTCGCGATAGGACAAACCAACATGTCGATAGGCAATAATTCTCCCCATGTGATAGTCGCTAACATGGTGATAATTTGGAAGTCTTTCAACTCGAGGCATTTTTGATGCTTAACACTGGTAAATGAAAGGACAATAACTGAAAATATCTGTACTACTCAGCTCTCAGAAACTGCTTTCTTCCCAAGAACTAAGAGATAATATTATAACAAAGGTAAAAAAAGCAAAGATAAATATAGTCATTATGTTGCCAAAAGAAATTATTTTTTCTGTGTGTAGCACTTCTAATGTCACTGAGTATATAATCATAATGCTCATATAAAATCGCATAGTCAGACTTCTTCTAGCTGAATTTTTGAAAAGTGATCTCATATTATGATCAGGTAGAGGTGGTGGCATTGTTGTAATGTTTGACTGCAGTGTATGAAATCAGGTGAAAACAGGTGAATACAGAAAATGTGGTGTTAAGTACTCCCACATATTCATATACACCTAGTATAGATTTCTTAAAAATGTTTTATTAGATTCAGAGCTCCTATACCATTTACTGACAAGCATGTTACAGAATTGATGTTTTCTAATATGCATTATGATAATATCAATTTCAAAACTCGGCCCGCAAGTAATGGAAAGTTCATGATTTTACGGTCAAAGGCAAGTAACTGCCTCATTTGAATTAATAGCATTTCTGTAATTAAAAAAACTCTATTAAAGTGCAGTAACTGTTATGTTAATGCTGACGATTCTCATTGCCATTACGAAACCGACAGCTGTTGTTAAAAAACTGATGGTCTTGAGACAATGTTGAAGTTGATAGTATCATAGAACAATGCAGCTATTATCAGTTCGTTGTCCCAGGAAACGAAAGCCTGCTGGAGTCAAGTATATTAAAAATAAAAAAAATCTTCACTTCCTAATTCCAAAGCTTCTGCTAGAGATACGCTCAAAGGTCAGTGTGAATCATTTTTCTACGGCGCATCAAAGCAGATGTCGCTTATCGGTTATCTCAAAACAAAATCGGATGATGTCAACGAAAATAGAAGTTGAATCATCCCGCTTTCGCCCACATGATGCAAAACTATCGCCTATTTCATCAGGAGGTCAGCTAGGAGGAAAAGAGGGATTTTTGAGTTGAGTCAGATGCTATGCGATAACGCGGTGATAAAAATGATGGATATATCTGCCTCGAGTAGCGGATATAATAAACAAAGCGCTCAAGTGACTTTAGTGGTTTTTGGACCCGAGAAATTCTTGCTTATACCGTAACGCTTTTTTCACTGATTAGTGTATTCTAATTGATTGACTTGCGAATGCTACTATCTAAATATATTCGCTCATTTTGCACTATTTTTCTGACACCACGAAAACAGCTTAGGTTAATGGGGTGATAAGCTGTTGTTTGCTCAAAATATGTATAACTAAATATAAAATGTACATGTTGCGTTGTTGATGCATCCCAAATATGAAAAGCAAAATATCGACATTTCAAATGCACCACGTTGCTTGGCTTATAAGAAAACAGCTTAGATATAACAATGTAGCTCCAAGGAAGGGAATTAAAACCATTTGGGATATAATAACAAACCTAGGGAAGTATGTTATTCAGTTAGTGGTTAGTAGTCTCCACTTTATATTTTTTGGAGCACACTTAGAAATATAGATTAATAGATTAAGAATAAATCAACCAAGCAAGTGGGTTATTCCTACAAGCGTTTCCTATAGTAACTAGAACTAGATCCTGAATGAGTAAGCATGTTACTTCGCCATCTTGGGACTATGTTATTTTTCACAGTCTGATTCATACAATATACAACAATGAATAATAGTCGAAATTGCTCAACAATCCTATATTAATAATACCTAAATAATCGAAAAAACTGTCGCCATTATAGAGTTGTAGATTAATACAGTTTTTATACTCTATTTTATACTCCTACATTTTATTCTTGTATGAGGTATTTGTTGTGGTCATGCCTAAGAGTTTAATTCAATTTCCCACTGTCTGCTTTTTGTTGTGTAAATGATGCTTTGGGGTATTAGACTATAAAAAATATATAAACCTCAAAATTCGTAACTGTCAATCCATCATTTTTTGCATAAATTCAGTCACTTATAATTATATGAAAACGTTTATCTATCTACCCACATAATCCATGTAAATGATTTTCTTCAATTTTGGAAGTATAATTCCCGTTCATTAAGCATGTTTAATGCTTGTAATTGTGTTCTTAATAATATTTATTGGTGTTGCATATGCTTTTTACATAAGTCAAAGTGAAAAAAATACATAGATTTAAAATACTACATAAACTAACTTGGCCCAAGGATGGCCTTGATATCGAAACAAACAACGACTCTGTAGTTATTCGCAATTGTTCTAATAAATTGTTTTTTGTTTCAGGCTCCTCAACCTCCGGAACCATGGGAAGGTGTCCGCGATGCTACCAAAGAAGGGTACGAATGTCCTTCTCTCGACATGTATTTCGGATACAACATCGGCCATGAGGACAACTGCTTGAATCTAAACATTTACACCAAAGAGGTAAGACCTTCTGCATCTTTAATTAACATCCATACTGATGCGTTTTCTCTTTATCATTAAATTGACACACAACAGAGTAAACGTGATGCATACAATATACAACTGATATTAAAGACGAAATGACACCGTACGGATGTGAACATTCGTTTTAAAAATCAGGATGAGCAAAGATTGGCATCACTCCAAACAATGTATGTACGTCAAACGAGAATTTTTTTATTAAAAGCATTGTTTGATTATCGATATCTGTTGTTGTGAAACAGATGCACATGTAGTGTTTGTAACGCAAGCTGTTTCAGAACTAGAGATTAATGGATGTCGTTGGTTATTTTGGAGACAAATATTTTCCTGTTTTTTTTTGGTGATGTTGGCATTGAACTAAAGGTCATTTACCACAAATTGTGATATAAATACAAAACATTAAATCTAATCTGAGTGAGGAATTCGATCAATAAATTTATACACCTTTTTATTCTGCAAGCCCAATAATGACGAAATATAGATATAGGATATATGATTTAAGCTCCCGAAAAATATATAGTTCAGGTCGGCTGTCTGGCCATCCTGCTCGCAAAGAAAGGAGTCTTTCAATCCTATTACATGAATGAGAGCTGGGAAGTTTTCATCGTTAAGACGTAATCTTGTTATAGTAGAAGAATATTTATTACTAACTTTGTATTTATAGATATGAGCAGTTTTCTTTTTAACGTTCCTGTTTATTGAATAATAGTGATTCTTTTCATGGGAGCGCAGCCACCCTGTATCCTACTCTTTTATTTTTATAATAATAATAAAATAATCTGCATTGATTAACACTGCCCAAATGGACAGCCTCTTTAGCTGCCTGATCTACTCGTTCATTGTCTTCTATTCCTATATGTCTCTTCACCCTGCAACGTGTGATTACTAACGAATGATAACAGCAGTTTGAAGTCGGAAAGAATGGAAACATTTTTAATATACACAAATCGGGAATTCTCACAGGGACTACGAGTATGATATCCATTTCCATAACTACAAGAGTCCTCCTAACTCCATCTGACTTTTTGATCCATCACAAAAGATTGTCACATCTGGCTTAACATCGTTCAAAATATTTTCACTATCAGTTGGTTGTAGGCAGGAGTTTCATTATAAATTGGAAAAAATGTTATAACTTTCTTTTGTAAAACAACAAGGTTCAAATTGATAAAATGGTGTTTGTATACGCTGCGGTGAGAGGTGGGGAACTATTCTTTGACCAGAAGGGATTAGTTAAGTCCTCGGTGTTTAAATTTGAAATTCTATTATACGTATATACTAAGTGACATATAAATCCGAACACCCAGTTTAAATTGTTTTATTTGAATAAAATTTTGTATAAGTACTTAATGAAGCATAATAAGTATATGATAAAAATTTCAAAATGATTGCACTGCTTTAAAGCCCTTTGACCTTTAATAATGTGTGGATGCACCCTGATGTGCTACGCATTCTCCAACGCGCCTAGGCATGCTTCTGATCAGGTGGTCAATGTCCTCCTGTGGTATCTCATTCCAGGCAACCACCAACTCCTCTCGAAGTGCTTCTAGAGTCTGAGGAGGACGTTGCAAATTGAGCAATCTCCTACCCATCATATCCCACACGTGCTTAATTGGGGATAAGTCGGGAGATCTTGGTGGCCATGGTAACAATGTGACATCATTATGTTGAAAGAAGTCTATTGTGACTCTTGCAACATGTGGTCGGGCATTATCTTGTTGGAAAGTTGGATCTGCCAGGGTGTCAAGATAGGGTAAAAGAAGGGGTTCTAGAACTTCGTGGATGTAACGCTATGCGTTCATGTTACCTCTGATGAAGATTAAAGGTGACCTGGAACCATAAGCTATAGCACCCCAAACCATAACTCCAACAGTGTGATGAACATGTCTTTCAACAAAAAACTGTGGATTCCTCCTTTCACCACGTCGCCTTCTAACCCTGGCACGACCATCGTGCATGCCTAAACAAAATCGAGACTCGTCACTAAAGACAATACTGTTCCATTCCTGATCCCAGAGTGACCGTTGTCTGCACCACTCAAGGCGGTTACGTCGGTGTTCTCGAGTTAAAGGGAGGACCCAGTGTGGCCGGTATGAAAACAAGCCAAAACTTCTCATTCGTCGGTAAACACTTCGCATGCCAATAGGTCTTCCGTGTTCTGCAAACCATTCATTTGCAATGGACCTGGTAGAGGAGAAACGGTCCCTTAAGGCCAATAATCTTAGGCGGCGATCTTCACGGTCTGTTGTTCTACGGCGGTGTCCAGTGCCCCTTGCTCTTTGCGTACGGCCTTCTCGAAGCCATGCCTGACAACACCTAACCACAGTGTCTACACTTCTTTGCACTCTAACTGCAATTGCCCGAAAAGAAAGTCCAGCTTCCCGAAGCCCCACTATACGGCCCGTATCAGACTCACTAAGTTGACGAAATCGTACAGGTCTCCGTACTCTAGGCATCGTAATCGATCGTAAAGGATGTCAGGAACCAAAATCCGCCAACGTTGATTCTTTACTGCGGCTGAAATATACATTTTTAGAGCGTTAGTGAATTAAAAAAAAGCAGTATAAAAACCTGAATGTCCAACTGATAAGGCTGAAAATTTTTTCACTTGTTATTTACAGTAAGATAAATACATTCACCAACTTTTATTAAAATAAAACCATTTAAACTGGGTGTTCGGATTTATATGTCACTTAGTATACAATAGTGAATTATATACTTTTATTTTTGTGATATATTTGTGAGCTAAGAAGGATCTTCTAAGCGGCCAACTAAACGATAAAAACAATAATGTTCACAGTTGCCAAGAGATGCTTTTTAATTGAGTTAGCAGTTACCAAGAATGCACCATAAAAAGGGTTACTGGATTGAATCAATCATTTTTCATTTAGTTTTATATTCCATTTATTTCTTTAAGCCTGCATCGAGCTTACGAAATATTTGGTTTGTTTTTTCAGACTACGTGACATTTAATGTTATTATTTTTACAGATTCCCATGTCCGAAAGCTTCAGGAAGAAGCCAGTAATGGTATGGATCCATGGTGGTGGCTTCATGTATGGTTCCAACAAAGCTGATCATTTTGGACCTTACTACCTCATGACTGAAGATATAGTTTTGGTGGCGATTAACTACAGATTGGGCATTTTCGGTAAGCGTAGTTAACGTTTTAATTATATTGCAATAAGGTATTTTCCATTCGTACAGCTGAATATTTAATAACCGTTTACTCGTACATCCGTTTCTCAGTGACAGCGCTGTTTATCCTTGTTTCATTCCTTGGTGTGTAGAGAAAAGACGTATTTGACGTTCGAACATTAGAAAAACTTTTTGGATTCTCTCTGTTACCCACTGGATAAATCAGCCAAAATGATCCACCACACATTGTATGTTAAATTGTTAATGACAGAAAATAAAAGTTATTTCCCGCAGATGTTGCATAAATAGAGATAGAGCAAGGAAAACCGTTTACGAGTAATCTTGAAGGGCAAGTTCTGCTCCTTATCACTCATAGAAAAAAATAAAAATGGCGACAAGTAGGTTGACTTTGCACTTACCACGCACCGCTGACATCAGTTCATAAAGGATTGTGTTCAGCACCCGCTGAGAAAAGGAGTTCGTTACGAACATGCATATCAGAGAAAGCAAATGGATCAAGTCAGTCAAACACGCCCACCCAATTAATCCATAGACATTCTTTCCCTGCCCTACCGGTAGTCTGGCAACGTCGTCTTTTGGTTTATGATGTGTGAAAAAATATGTGAGACTGGGAGCGTATAAACATCCTCCCATTCCTCAATTTTTTACCCCTACATTTAGTTCAAAGATAAAAATTAAACCTTATTTTTTCGTTTTTGACCCTTTTTTCCGCCGCTACGTTTTAAAAACGACATAGCTTTTTTGTTCTTGTAATACTTATAACTTTGTGCGAAAATTTTATCAAAATCCGAACCGTACTTTCCAAGTTATAGACGACCCAGTGACTAGTGGACAGGCAGACCGACAGAAATAAGTGACGTGGTTTTTCGTGATGTACAAGTCATATAACATCCCAAAAAGATAATATTTCATTTTCGAAATTTTTCGCGATCATAACACCACCTCGCATTCAACATCCAAAGTATACTTTTGGAGGCAAAATATTCTTTCCCATTATTTAAGAAATTTATACGTATTATTTTTTTTCTGGTATTATTTATTGATGGAAACGTATAAACTCTCAAAATGACATGCTTTGATAAAGAAATGTGATCCCTCAGAAAAATTGAAAACAATATGAATCATTCTCGTGATGCATATATTTGCCTTAAGACGCGGAATCACCTCACATGCCCAAACATATACAAACGATCATATATTATCTTATGTTAATTAATTACTGCTGTGACAATTATTGGTATAATTAACAAGCAATTCATCTGTGCAATATGAGAATGAGCTTTTGCCGATACGAACTATCATTTTCGCATTCATTGTTATCGAAATAAGAGACAGTTAAATTTATGTGTCTTTTATTGACTATATGGTGTTATCGCTTATGACGTAAGCATTGATTCAGACATCATAAAAAGTACATCGATATAGGTAAAGTTCGGTATTGTTGGATAATTTAGCTTTTTTGTAATTGCTCTGTGTGTACCTAGATATTCAAAAAATAAGATAGACTGTAGGTTCATACTTCAAACAGCCTAGGTATATTTTTAACCCCCCAGCACACAGAGAGAATGTATGTTAGCAGTGCCATTGTTAACCACTTGAAATACCTTTCAAGGTTGAATTCTACTAGGCATACTGAGGTGTCAAAAGCACATTTTGTATCACAAAATGATAGCAGATATTCTTTCCCTTGGTTTAATTAAAAAAAAAATGATCAGCCTTGAAAGCATTGTCGTTTTTGAAAATCCGAAAACTGGCAGCGGAACTGTGTGCAAAAACATGAATGAAATAAAAATCGCTCAAACTTGTTTTTTTGACGGTTCCAGTGACTTCTGATCATTTGCAATACATTTTTTATCCGTGTTGTAATTCGGGGGCTGGAAGTTGTTGGGTGGGGGGGTTATGAAAATTTCTTTTACTTTTGTATGCTTATACTTCGTTTTTAAGATGTCACTGTGAGCAACGATGTAGCATAAAACGACTAATGTATGTTAGCTTCTAGCATACGATTGCCGATCAAAATACTTGCGCAGGACATACATTAATTTATTTTAAGCAGGACTTTTTTGTCGTTTTTAGATATCCTAATGTTAATAAAAAAATTAGCTCGTGACATCGAGTGATGTTAAGATGCAATGGAATGATACGGCGCCATATGTACAGAACTGCTTCAATCATTTTGTTGACAATGAAAATCTATTATATACTCGTTAGAACGCTGACCTAAGCGTCTAGGGTCTATGAATTTTTAATTTATACTTGTAATTTCTGAGTATGGATTACACATACACTGATGTTCATAAAGATTTTGAAACATTTCTTCAAATAGAATGGGCATCATGTGACACCTCATTTTGAAGCTCCTTATAAATACTTAATAACTAATATAAAATAGTAATATAAGTTTCGTTAGTCCGACCATAGGCAGCCAACAATGGACAGCTGTTTCATACTATTTGGCAACTCATCAGTAGGGTTTGAAAAGCATGTATCGACATCGACGCTTAAAAAATGAAAGACTTAAATTTTGTATGATATTCAACCTATCATCAATATGATAGATAGATCTCAATTGCTTCCAATACATATAGCTTATAGGTGTTCTCAATGATCGTGAACAAGTGCGAACCAGTCATCAGACGAGTTGACATTCGGTTAACCCCAATAAAGGCTGTTATTGGCAAATTTATATGCAATCGAGATTTAGGAACAAACAACAAAATAATAGCAATGTAACATTGAAATATATACATTGCCAGTTTTGTATTTCGTATGACCGATGGTCTCATATAGTATAGTATTATTCCATGCGGTATGATCTTATCGTGTTTCAATTAATTCCGATACAGCGTCACGCAAATAATTAAGCTTTATTAGGTCATGTTGGGCTGTGGCTCAATAAAAGTAATAATGGGCTTTTCCAGCTTCCGCACGAAAAGGCTTTGGTGGATGTGACTAGTTCACTCTTTTTTTTCTTAAAGCTTGCTTGAGTCAAAAATTAAATCAACATAATGTCTAATACTTTAGAGCAGCGGTTCCCAACCTTTTTCTTCCAGAGAACCCCTTATAAAAAATGGAATATATCGGCGAACCCCTTGAGCAGTCGTTAGTAAAACTAAGCCTTACCAAAAAAAGGAGTATTATAATATAAATACAAGTAATTCGATACTTGCAAAAATCCTCAATGGGATATTTGTGCCCATTTGTTGGAACAAAGAAATTCAAAATTTGGTTCAATGTCTGAAAGCTTAAGTCTTTGATCGGGCTCTGCTTTTAATCTATTTCTGTACTTATGTTTGTGGTACGTGTATGTTGAAAATCCTTTCTCACACACATACGTTGTGCAGAACGGTAACAAAATTTTCATGGCTTTTTCTGCTAAGATAGGGCATTCATTTTTTACATTGAGCCAGAAGTCTATTAAAGAATGATCAGCAAAAACAGCTTTTAGAGTATGGTCAGAGGATCAAGGAGTTTTTCTTTTTCCAATAAAGATAAAGAAGTGTTAGAAATTAAATTTCCTTCAAAAGGATTGCGTATCCAGTTGTTTGATCCAGGTTTATTAGGAAAATACTCTTTGAACGTTAATTGAAGCTGTTTGTGAGATGTTCAGTAATATCTCTTTTAATGTTTTCGTTAAGTTGAAATTTATTCTCCGATAAAAAGCTGCTGAGAGAACCAAAACAATGGTACTCATTGATCTGCAGACATTGATTCCAAAAGTTGAACTTCTTTAGCATTGCTTCTATTCTATCATGAACACTGAAAATGGTGATTCCTGGACCTTGTAAAGACATATTTAGTTCATTTAATTTTGAAAAAATATCGGCAACATCTGCAAGTCTTTGGAGCCACAGAATGTCGGATACAGAAGAGAACAAATGAAATGGATGGTCAAGAAAAAATGCCTGAACTTCAGACTTCAATCCAAACAAGCGTGTCACAACTTTGCCACGAGAAAGCCACCTAATTTCTGTATGAAGTAATAAAGAGACGTGGAGACTTCCCAAGTCCTCACAAAGTTCACGGAATAGACGAGAATTTGTAGCACTGGATTTTATAAAATTCACAACTTTTACAGTTTCGCTTAAAGTACTGACTAACTCTGCAGAAATATGCTTACATGCCAATGCTTGCTTATGAATACAGCAGTGAGTCCATTCTATATTCTCGTTGATCTTCTTTATTCGTATCACAAGACCAGAATATGTTCCAGTCATTGATTTTTTCAAAATAGTCATTGATCAGATTAAAAATTGCTGCACCAGTCGTATAAGTTTCCGGTGGTTTTGCAAATAACACATCTTCTTGAATGGAGTTCTTGAAAATATATCTAACATAGACGAGCAATATAGCACAGTTTGCTACATCGGTTGACTCGTCAAGCTGAATAGCAAAATAATTCAATTTTATTCTTTTCAAAAGTTCACTTTTAGCACTGTTCGCCAAATCTTTAATTCTCCGTGACACCTGTGCTGTTTGATAAGGGCACAAGGTCAATTTTGTTTGCCGCATTTTCTTTAAGCATACACATTGCGATGTCTTTAGCACAAGGTCCGATCAAAATTTTCTGCCATCATATGAGCTCTTCCAGATCTTGCGATTCTGTAACTAACTCGAAATGACGCTACAAGAGCCACTTTACTATCTGCGTTGAAAACCGACAGGAAAGAATAATCATTACAATTCTTATCACCTTCCAATTTCTTTTTAAAATATCAAATAGGCTTATCCTTGTAATCTGGATGTCTTGTCTCAAGGTGCCGACAAAGAAGCGGTGGTCTTAAACTACTGTTGGCCAGAACTTCATTACAAATTACACAAGGCGGTTTAGGCTTTGGCTCTATCCCGATGAAATAAAAACCCATTTGCAAATAGTCAGCGTTGTATTTTCATTTCTTTCCTTTTTTTTCACCATGCTTATCTATTTTCTCATTACTTTTATTCTGGCGAGAATATATAGTAACTATAACTTTCAATATCGCCACCCTGAGC